ACAAAAGTCATCATGGCAGTTATTTGAGATTTGACTTACTAGTCAAATGGTACGTAGCGTCCTGGAGATGTTGTCCGACAGGAGTTCTGCTCTGACTCTGCTGGGGTGCAGGCCATCAGCACGAAAAAGCCTAGGACGCTCCCAGAAAAGATTCCAATTATTAACAAAAAGCAGTTTATGTTCTTTACACCATGGCAATAACCATTCATTTAAAGCAAAAAGCCTACTGAACCTTTCGTGTCTTCATCGATACGTGAAAAGCAGTCCTGACACTATGATCGTCGTCGCGAGCGATGTGCTGCACACTGTCTCGATCAGGCTCCTGAAGTCCCTTTTCAGTGTCTCTTGGTGTCGTTAACCCCGGCGTGAAGCCCGACTGCTCTGGTGCTCTCGTCGCCCTTCAGGATCGCGGGTATCTGCGCAGAAACATCGAGAACACGAGCACCAGGGAAACAGTGGGTGTGCACTTTACCTTCAGCTAACGTAGCATGGACGTGCCGGACGATGGAGTGTCCGACGATCACAGCATCGCATTCCGTCTCGCAGAGGGGAGCGAAGCGGTTCCGGGTGGAGATCTCGAAGACCGGAGGCGGCGGAGGGTGAGAGGTCGTCGCCCAGGGCTTGGCTCGCATCTTCCGCTGCAGGTGCACCCAGGGTAAGATCGCGTCCTGTGCAGAGAAACACACGGAGTAGAGGTGGTGGGAGAGTTAGCAGCGCGGCTCTCCACTCTCTCAGCTGGGTCTGCCTCTCCACCAGGTCACGGGTCTGCTTCTCCACGGCCTCCAGCTCAAGTTGCACCGACTGCAGCTCAAACGTGTCCTCACCTGCACTCAAAGGTAGACACACATCTGCCATTAAAGCAAGTAACAGTGAGTAAAACAATGATAATGTGTGTGAATAGAGTATTAGCAATGAAAGCGAGATTAGTGGCAGCCACACTGGCGATGCTAATGGGCTATATGCTAATATTGTACTCGGAAAATCAAAATAAAACTAGTGATAAGGCGCTCTGATTGTTTTTGTTGTAGAATACAGAGATATATTCACACGTTATAGAAACGAAAATTATGGTGTATAAAATTGATTTTAAGATTTTTAAAAAATAGACTATAAAGAATTAACTTGACTGAGCTCAAACGCAAAACACACGGCAGCAACAAACTAGTTAATAATACCAATATTAACTAGGGGGATGATTTTGATTCATCCCAGTGGCTTGCTTCTAGCTAAATTTTAGGGGCGTAAAACGGACTAGATGAGCCCCAGAGACAGATCCCCAGTGAGGACCTTGTCTTCTAGATAGCCACCGGGACAAGACCATAGGAACCAGATGAGTCCTCTGCACAATCTGACTTTGCTGCAGCCTGGAACTGAACTGCTGGTTTCATCTGGCCAGAGGAGAACTGGCCCCCGATTGAGCATGGTTTCTCCAAAGGTTTTTTCTCCATTTTGTCACCGATGGAGTTTTGGTTCCTTTGGCTTGCTTAGTTGGGGACACTTAATTTCCAGCAATATCGTCGACTTGATTGCACAGCCTGTAAGCCTAAAACCCATGTCATTTATTAAGATTAGTTTTCAACTATGGAATTGAAATGCATGCACTATGAAACAAAAAGGGCTGATAAAGAGTTATTCTGTATGTTAAAGGAATTGAAACAAACGGATTGTGATAGGGGACAAGAAAAATTTTGCTCCCTATTTCCTTAAACTTACAGAAATCTGTTGTTGAGAGGTTGTCCACTAAATGAATGCCAAGTGTAGAGGATGGTAGGATGGTAGTCAAAAAGGATTCCTGCTGGTTGAAATTATACTATTGAAGTTTTTAATGTATCACAGAATATCAGCCCTACGTTATGTAGAAAATCCCAACCTTATCTTATTGTTATAATGTAAACTGTACCAGCTCTAAACCGCTAAGAGTGGATAACTAGACACTGAAATCATGAAACTCCGTAAACCATGCGTTTTGAAAAAGTCTCCACAAATACATTGACTGGACATAAGTAATGTGTTTGTGCATCTTGAAACAGCGCTTTGTGCTCCGGTAAGAGTTGTAGGACAGGTAATGCTCTCACACAACCATTCAGATTAAATTAATAGCCTTTTGTCAGGGTAGTGCCAGTTTTTATTTTTGATGAGTTAAAACAAGACTGTGAAGGACAGGAGTACAGTTTTAAATGGATTGTACTGTTTAACCACATGCCAACTTTTTAAGTTTGAGTAAAAATCGGCACAAATTGTAGGAATAATAACTACAGGTTAAAATCTAGAGCTAGTATGAAATGTTAGTAGCAGTAGAGTTTACTTCCATGCTGTGATATATTACTGAGTGAAATTAGTTTTTGAACATGGAAAGAAATGCTTGGTTTTTATCCGTTGGGTGTTGATTGGATTGTGAAAAGTGGGTATTGCATGTGGGGAAAACAAAACAGTTCTGTGTTATTCCTCCAAAATGTATGATTTGCAGTAAGTGTTTTAACAGACTGTGTGTGTTGTTCATCAGCAGAGAGTCCTGCTCGGTGGGAGCGAGAGACCGAAGAGAGAGGCTGGATGAGGAGGGAGAAGAGAGGAGAAAGAAGTTTGGGCGGACAGGAGAGAGGAGGAGCTCTACTTTCCCTCTTCCAGCTGTTTTCTAACCATTCTGTCAGTCTCTCATCTCCACTCAAACTCTCCTCCCGATCCTTCTGCTCATTTGCTTTCTTCAGTTCATCATCTGAAGACAGATGGAAAGCTGCAGCACAACTCAAAAGTGAGGAAGATTGTCAAGTATTAATAACTATCTTATTTAATTTACGTTTGTTATTTAAATAATTACATTGTTAATTCTATAATGTGCAGTGAGGTATGATTTGAGCGTAACCCCTCAACAGAGAAGATCAGGCTGGTTGGAGCTGTTTAAGTCAGCCCTTGATGGGAGTGTAGTGGATTGTTTGAACCAGCCGACTTATACTAGTCCTTCTTGATCTAAGCACAGCTTTTGATGCTATCTTGCACAACATACTCCTTGACAGGTTCGTTTCCATTGGGATTACTTGTACCCCATTATGGTTTAGATCTTATCTTGCCAGGCGTGCACAACTTAAACATTTTCGATCCA